AAGTTCCCATTTCTAATCTGCGTGAATGAAGTTTTTACAAAGTTTTCAAATGTAAAGATTAAACTTAAACCCAAGTGCCGTTAGGTAAATTAAAAGCAGAATGCAGAGCAGTCAGTGCAGCTGGCAGACAGGCTGCTCAGCCCAAACCCAGCCCAGCAAACACTCACATCCAAACTCAGAGGCACGCGGTGAGTGTTTGCAGAATTAGGGCTCTGAGGTGTGCATGGGCTGTGTGTAACTGTGCTCAGTGTGAGGAGAGAAGCTGCCCTGCCAATCCCTGTGTCTGCACCCACCTGGGACCCTCTCAGTGCTTCCCCTTGAGAGAGTGGCACCCCAGGGTGGTGCCTGACTGTGCAGAGCTCAGACACAGGCACAGAGAGCATGGGAAGGTGCCCTGCCCAGAGCAGGGGCTGCAGACAGGACCCCAGTGCTTTGGGAGAGGGTCTGCATCAGCAGGTGGAGCTGCAGAAATTTTGGGAGCCATCAGTGCCAAGCTCTCTGCCGTCAGAGCAAATGGAGCTGCAGTGTGCTGCACACCTCACTGCAGTCCAGAAAAACACAGGAAAAGCCAGAGGATGTTTCTGTCCAACACCTGGAGAGAAGCCCCTGAGGTCCCACAGCCCTGAGGCAGTGGCTGGGGCTGGGGAGAGCCCCAGGTGAGGCTGAGGGAGCAGAGCCATGGCTGGAACCTGTCAGGTCATCGGCCCTGTGAACGGCCAGAGCAAGCTCTGACTGCTGCCAGATCCTTCTCTGGAGGCTCCAGTGCTTGGAGTTGAGCTCTGGAGTGTTTACCATGGTTTGTCTGAGATAAGGAGAAGAATGTGTGATTTGGGAGCTGAAAGGAGGGCTTGCAATTCTTGTACACATCCAGGGCAGGTTGGACGGGGCTTGGAGCACCCTGGAGTGCTGGAAACGCCCTGCCCGTGGCAGGGGTGGAATGAGAGGAGCTTTAGGGTCTCTTCCGACCCAAATCCTTTGGGATTCCATGGTTCTGTGACAGGTGACTCTCCACCTTTGCCCAACATCTGTAGGAGCAGCTGCCTGGCCATACCTTGGTACAGCCACGTTTCCCCCTTAGATCCTCCAGGAATTTCAACCCTGCTGAAATCCAAAGGACAGGAGTAGAAATTCTGCCTAAAAGTGGTAGGAGCACCCCCGTGCTCAGGTTACCCTGTCTGGCCACAAACCCCTGGGATCTCAAGCACTGTCACAGAAGACACTCAGGCTGCTCTGAGCTTCCCTCCCATGCTGGCATTTCTGTGAGCCAGGCCAGGGTAATGAGACTTGAAAAGTCAATCATTTATGGGAAAACAGGAACAGTTGGATGCAGACGTGACAAACACACATCACTTTATCACCACTGCACGAGTGCCAAGGCACTTCCTACTTGGGCCAGTCCTTCTAGGTACTTGCTTTGTTTACCATGTAATCTCCAAAATTTGAGTTTTCAAAAGCTGCTAAGATTTTCTCCCAAATAAGACAAACTTATAAAATAATTTATGTAATGTAATTTATGATCAAGCTTGACACTGGTTTCTGACTCTGCTTGTACTAATTTTGTATTTTCTACATTGTATTTTTCTCCCCTCTAAAAAGCAAAAGAGGTGCTCAGCCTCTACAAGGCTGAGTGCATCACATTCAAGTGATCTCCCAGTGGTTTTTGTTCTTGAACTTGAAAATAACTTGTGCTGAACAAAAGTGATCTGATCAAAATCAAAGGGAGAAAAGAACCACATGTAAATTCAACTCAGAAATATTTCTTTACAGGGTCCCATTTGCTGCTTTGTGGAGCAGAAATCTGATGTGATGCAGTGCTGCCCTCTGAGAGATAAAGTGGGACTTCTTATTGTACACAGTTTACCAGTGCCTTTTTCGTGGTGTTGTGCTTAAAATAGTGAGGGTGTTGATGAGTGTAAACTGGAGGAGGAGCTCAACTCCAAATACACCTAAAGCCTGGCATTTCTCTTCCACATTCAGATTTTTATAAAAAGCCAAGAGTTCTAGAAAGCTTCATCTCCAATTTCCATGGTCAAAACCAAATAATTTTATGGGTTTTTTTAAGTAAGGAGAAACAAGGAATCCTTTGAGAAAGTCAGATAATTGACTGTTCCTTAATTTTTATTAAGTTCCTTAATAAATGCAGCACGTTGCAGCATTAGGGAATACTGCCTTTGCAAATAGAGGGCACGAAGTTGTCTATTAACAGATTGTGATAATGTCATCTTGTTTTCCATTTTACTTCCTCGATATAAGGAAGTGAACATTTATCATTGAAAGAGACAAGCAGAGAAATCCAGATCATATTACACAAAAGGGATGCAGCCAAGGCTGAAGTATTGTAAGGTTTCTTTCCCAAATGATTAATTTTTTTTTTGTGAAATGCAAGGAGCAGCAGAAATGGGCTTGTTTCATGGGCAACAGACTCTTGCCAGCAGCTGAGGTCTGCCAGGACTCAGCTGAGGAGCACTTGGAGAAGGGAAGCAGATCTTCCCATCTGCACTCCCCTAATTAAGAGCCTGATTCTGATCCTATTGAACAAGGGTGCATTTTGTCATTGGAGAAATAAGAGTAGGACAAGTTCTTGGTTTGGGAGATCCAAAAAATTGTAAAGGCTGTTTGACATACATGGGCAACCTCTGCAAACCTCCTCAGGCTGTGAAGGGCCCTCTCTCAGCTGAACTGGCCCCCAAAGCCTCACAGATACCTTAGGGTCCATGTGTGGGAAATACACACACCAGCATGCAACCCAACTTCAAAAAGAGAAATTAAATCTTAGATTTAAAGTGAGAACCCCCCCTCAGGAAACAGAAGCCTGTCATTATGGCCTTGTTGCACAAAGTAATATTGACCCAACCTCTGTCTCACAGCCTCTGGTGAGGCTGTTACTTCACCTGCTCTGGTCACGGTGCCTACAACAGGTCAGGATTTTTTCTTCATTTTATGAGAAATTTTGAAATTAAACCAAGACTTATTTCATTGAGTCAGCATAGATGTCAGTGCTGAAAATGTTTGACACCTACCATGTGAAAAAATCATCCCAGTTGAGTTAAAATGTTTTCAGAACACAAGTCAAACAGAAGCGGTCATCCTGTAAAAATACAGTTTAGTGTAGAATTAAATTTTTAAATAAAATCCTATTTCTGAGCTGAATTTTTAAAAGGTTGAATATGGGTGCTTTCAAAATTTAACCCCCAAGCCCACTTATTTTGTTTTCCTTTCTTTCTTTATTTTTGAGCTCCAACATTTTCCACCCCATCCTTTTGGTTTAAGTTTAGTTTGCCTACTTCTAATAGCATCTGGAAATACAGAGATGAAGCTGGCTTGATGCCTTGGAGTGGCCCCCTAGAACAGAGGCTAGGCAAGGTAAAGAGAATAAAGTGGGTATTTATTGAAGGTCTTTAACAGGGACACTTTGGGCAGCCAAAGGCCTCCCAGAGGCTGCACTGAGAATGGACAGTGGTCACGAGTTTTTCAGACAATTATAAGTTTGGTCCTTTTATATATCAGGGGTTAATTCTTCAATTACAGCTGCAGATATTGAAGTCATTTACCCCCAGTTTCCTCCTCCCCATTCACTTCTGTTTATACTTTTCGGGCTCTGAGGCTGTAGGACGTCCTTGAGTTTCAGGCTGAGAGGGATTTTTTGTCTGACCAAAACGTGGAGACAGTAGCTAACACTCTGTATGGCATTTAGAATTATACATCGATCAGTACAGGATTTGAAACAAAGCTAAACTCCAAAGGCGTCAGCCTGAACAACACTTGATCTCCCCGTGCCTCATGGAGAGCCATGGCTTTAGGGATGAGCACGCAGCAGGTCAGTCCCAGGGGGCAGAGCCCTGTTCATGGAGCTGTGTGCCCACAGCACTGCCACTAATGGAGCAGGTTTCCAGTGCTGCGTGCCCACAGCCGTTCATGGAGCAGGTTTCCAGCATTTCCAGTGTGCTGTGTGCCCACAGCCATTCATGGAGGTTTCCAGCATGTCCAGGGGGCTGTGTGCCCACAGCCGTTCATGGAGCGGGATTCCAGCATGTCCAAGGTGCTGTGTGCCCACAGCACTGCCATTCATGGAGCAGGTTTCCAGTGCTGTGTGCCCATAGCCATTCATGGAGCAGGCAGTGCGGTGGGGCCCTGCCAACAGGCCCTGCCAACAGGCCCTGCCATTCATAGAGCAGGTTTCCAGCATTTCCAGGGTGCCGTGTGCCCACAGCTGTTCATGGAGGTTTCCAGCATTTCCAGGGTGCTGTGGCCTCCACAGGCCCTGCCGTTCATGGAGCAGGTTTCCATTATGTCCAGGGTGCTGTGTGCCCACAGGCCCTGCTGTTCTTGGAGCAGGCACTGCCTTGTGCCCACAGCACTGCCCTTCATGGAGCAGGTTTCCAGTGCTGTGTGCCCACAGCCGTTCATGGAGCAGGTTTCCAGTGCTGTGTGCCCACAGGCCCTGCCATTCATGGAGCAGTTTCCAGCATGTCCAGGGTGCTGTGTGCCTGTAGGCCTTGCCGTTCATGGAGTTTTCCAGCATGTCCAGGGGGCTGTGTGCCCACAGCCGTTCAAGGAGCAGGATTCCAGCATGTCCAAGGTGCTGTGTGCCCACAGCACTGCCATTCATGGAGCAGGTTTCCAGTGCTGTGTGCCCATAGCCGTTCATGGAGCAGGCGGTGCCGTGTGCCCACAGCTGTTCATGGAACAGATTTCCAGCATTTCCAGGGCGCTGTGTGCCCACAGCACTGCAGTTCATGGAGCAGGTTTCCAGCATTTCCAGGGTGCTGTGTGCCCACAGCTGTTCATGGAGGTTTCCAGCATTTCCAGGGTGCTGTGTGCCCACAGGCCCTGCCATTCATAGAGCAGGTTTCCAGCATTTCCAGGGTGCTGTGTGCCCACAGCACTGCTCTTCATGGAGCAGGTTTCCAGTGCTGTGTGCCCGCAGGCCCTGCCCTTCCCTGCCGTTCCCCACAGTGCCTCTGCCCCTGCCCGCCGCTCACGGCCGTTCTGCCTTGCAGGGAGCAGGGAGGCCGCCTTCACCTACGCCATCATCGCGGCCGGCGTGGCGCACGCCATCACGGCGGCCTGCACGCAGGGCAACCTCAGCGACTGCGGCTGCGACAAGGAGAAGCAGGGCCAGTATCACAAGGAGGAGGGCTGGAAATGGGGCGGCTGCTCCGCCGACATCCGCTACGGCATCGGCTTCGCCAAGGTCTTCGTGGACGCCCGGGAGATCAAGCAGAACGCCAGGACGCTCATGAACCTGCACAACAACGAGGCCGGGCGCAAGGTGAGTGCCCGCTGTCCCCATGCCCACCCCGGGGCTGGGCTGGGTGCCCTGCGCGGCGCTGCCATCGTTCACAGCACACGAGCAGGCACCTCGGCAGGTTGTTGGACCGTCTGCTCGTCAAGCATTTGTCTAAATGTTACTCTTTGCAGCGGTAAGAAAGGGAAAAAAAAAATCAAACAAGTGTTTTATCTGGGGAGTCAAACGGTACTTCTGGTAACAAGCTGCCTGCTGCTGTGGGGGTGAGAAGGAGTCTTGTCAGGTTCAGACATGAATGTCTCACTCAGCTAAAAAGGGATCATTTTCAACACTGCTGTTCAAACGTTGCTCTTTGTGTGAGAGCCGCCCCTGCGAGGAGGGAAAGGCTGAGCCCTTGTCACTGGGTGTGCCACTGTGGCTCGGGTTTGGGCTCAGCACAGCAGCATTGCCACCCACCCCATCCTTTGGGACTGAGAGCTGCTGCTGCCGAGGCAGCGCTGGGGAAGGCAGGACCCCAGCAGCTCCCACAGCCAGGATTCCTGGGGATCCCAGGCACTGAGCTCCAGGATTTGCTGCCTTGGCCCTGTGTCCCATCTCCAGTGGCAGCTGGGCCGGGCACAGGAGCCTGCTCTGAGCCATGCTCCCTGCGGGCCAGGCATTCCCAGGCTGTCCCGGTGGGGCTGTGGCTCCATTCCAGCAGCTGGGATAGCCAGGGCAGCCTGTGTGCTCCCCACAGCCCAGCAGGGCTCTCCCTGCATGAGTTCTGCTGATCCCATCTCTCAGGGATGCCAATCCTTGCTTCCTCAGCTCTCCTTTACCTCCTCCTATGCAATTCCTGATTCCAGCATCATGTGAGTGTGACTTAGAGGCAAACAGGAGAAGGAAGTTGGGAGCAGCAGTTAATTTGTGGATGCTATTTTTGTTGTGGTAATTACCTGTAGGCTCTGAGACATCTCCAGTTATGCTGGAGCCAGGCAGATTGTATTGAAGAAAAGCCATTTCCACCTGAAACAAAAGCCTAACCCTTCTTTAATTTAATGCTGCTGTAGGAGTTTTATAGGTGAGATTCTGGGTTTTACTCTGTGCAGTATCCCAAATGCCTGTGTCTGGCTCTGTGGTGTCAAAACTTGTGCTTCAACCCCCACAAAATGAATCCTGAATTCTGAGAATAGCTCAAGAATTGAACGTTAATATTTGCAAAACGAATGGTTCTGAGATCTTTATAACAGCTTCTGGTAGCATGAAGGCACATCATGAAAAGCTTGGTGAAGCACCAACACCCACAGTCTGCTCTGCTGTACAGGCACAGACCCAGTGAAACAAAAAATAGCAGAGGAGTTTTGTGGCACAGCTACTTCCTTGAAAGGTCTGCCTGTGTTTGATGGGTGCTGGCAGTAAAAGATTCCCAGGAAATGACACAGCAGCCTACACCAGACTGCAAACATGGCTGGAACTGCCTGCTGGCCAGAAATTTTTCCCCAAAGCAAAGTTTAAAATGCAGAGAAACAGAAAAGATGCATTTTTTTACCTCGGTTATCCCCCAGTATGGGCTGAGGGCAGAGCAGGGCCATTGGTGCTGGAGGTGGCTGTGGGAAGGTGGGCTCCAGGAGCCTCCCCAGCCTCCCTGCCAGGCTCCTCGTGTTTCTCACCTTTCTGTGCACAATTTGCTGTCCTGGAAGCTTGTGCCTGGAAGGTTCAGCTCTCCTCATTGTAATCTGGGAGAGCAGTGGTTTGTGCTATCTCTGGCCATCTGCCATTTCTCCAGCAGGCTCAGGAACTGCTCTGATCTAGAGATAGCTCTGCACTTCTTCCTGCATCCTCACAGAGCAAAATTACCCATCTTTGTTCGAACACATCTCTGCTTGAAATCTGCAGGGGAGAGAAAGAGTAACAGGACTGAGGGGAGGCTTGTTGCTCCACTGTCCCATAGAGAATGAACAAATGATGTTTTTGCTAGAGAGATTTCTTTCAGGCTTTGCTCCTGTGTGAAAGATCACAGTATTTAAAGACAATTGGCAGGGGAGGCCTTTACAGGTATTTGGCATGCCAGGACTCTCACAACCTGACTCTTCCACAACAAAGACAGCCTTGTTGTGAGGTGGAACTCCATTTTGGAGCAGTATGGATCTTATCAGCCTCCAAACAATCTATTCATGGTGGCTTTCCTCTGGGCTACAAATTCTTGTCTTGTTTCACTTGCCCATGGCTAGGTTTTGATGATATTTATGCACTTGGGAGACAGACTGGCACCTACCAGGCTTCCAAAAATAAATCAATTCTTATTGATTTCTTACCAGCACCTGTAGGCATTGCTATGCTGTTCAAAAGCCTCTCTGCTTCTTTGGCTCGCAATGTGAAACTGTGCTGTGCCCACTCACCTGGTGCTCACCTGTGACAGACTCCTTCTTCAAGGTGACACCTGCTGCAGGTGGTTCAGGATGCACTCTAGAAATCACAGATCCATCAATATTGAGTTGTCTTCTTGAGAACCACTGATTAAATCATCCATTCCATCTCGGTGGGTGAGAATGTTCTGCTGGGCTCACTGGGAGCACTGGGCACAGAAGGGACTGCAGGGTGGGAACCCACAGAGAACCACAGGAAAAGCCTGATCCAGGATTTGGGGAGACCTCAGGTCAAGGCTTTGCAGCCTCTCACAGTCCTGTTTTACCCAGCCAATGTCTCAGTGCTCCCTGGGTGCCAGCAGCAGCCTCTGAACATCCTGAGCACAGCTCTGTCAGAGCAGGGTACAGCTATCCAGGGAATGGGCACAGCCCCAGGGCTGCCAGAGCTCCAGGAGCCTTGGGACAAGGCTCTCAGGGATGCCCAGGGTGGGATTGTTGGATGTCTGTGCAGGGCCAGGCTTGGCTGGGTGATCCCTGAGGGTCCCTTCCAGCCCAGGATACTCTGTAATTCCACAATCTGTCAGCTCTTGCTGGAAATGAGACAACCGAGGGTGTCAGATGTGGAGGATTTCAGAGGTCAGAGGTGGAGAACATCCCTGTTCCTCTGCTGAGCAGCTCGGGTCGTGCCGTGCTGGAAACCCCCGGGGCACGCCCAGGATGCAGCAGGAGCAGCCCTGCAGGAGAGGGGCACAGGAGCCATTCCCAGCTGCTCCCACCACAAATGCAGCCAGGGGCAGCTTTCCCCACGCTGAGGGACAGGCTCTGACTCTGTCTGTGTGTCTGGGGGACAATCCAGCAGGCCTCACTGGTGTAGCACAAGTTCCTCGGGCTGCTGGAAGGACAGGGGCAGAGTTCTGAGCTGGGGTCACCAACACCCCCCCAGACTGGCCCTGAGCAGCCCCAGAGCCTCACCTCATTTGTCAAACCTGCTGGAGAGCAGCGATTCCTGACCTTCAGAAGCAGAGTTTAGGGTGCCTTTCCTCTTTGAATTAGTGTTTCCTGAAGTGCTGATTCACTGCAGGAAGGAGCAAGCAGTACAGTGAGAACAGGAGGAGAATTCATAACAGCTGGGTCAGAAAAAGGAGATAAAGCTTCAATTAATTTAAAGGCATAATCCTTATTTGCCCTGCAAACTTCCATGTGAGGGGGTATAATTGCAAGACTGAATTGTCTGTTAGCAAATTTGTCTTCTCAAATATGAAGTTGATTAAATTATTGTAAGTAACACAATAATGTATGTCTGAAAGATATTTATACTCCAGGAAACAGAAATGTTATTCTCCAAGTTATCCTGCTAAAAAATAACGAAGTAGATACTGAAAGGCTCTACACATTGTGGCTGTGAGCATTTCATTCTGACAGCATGGCAAGGTACATGACCAGACTGCTCTCTCCTCTCTTTTTCCCTGTGACATTGAAATTCCACAAATGGCATCTTGCATCAGCGTTACATCATATTAAGTATAATGCAATATTATGAGTCATTGTTATAAATCATGGGCACAGGCTGCATTTAGAAGGCTTTTGCCTTCAAGAGCACATCAAGGTGGATTTTTATTCAGCATTTCTCTTTGGAGGCATGTGTAGGTGCACTATGTTTGCCGTGCCTCTCCATGCTCTGCATCAGGAGTGTTTCAGATTTCCCCTTCAGCTCTGAGGCTCCTGGGGATGTGGAGGACGTGCCTGACAGAGCTGCTGCAGACAGCAACCAAAGCTGGGAGCACCCAGGAGGTGTTCCTGGCCTGGATCATGCAGGGATCACAACACACTGGCATGTGTAATGTTTTATCCTGTAGAAAACTGCAGCAAGGCTGAAGTGACACAGTGCCATTAGGAAAGCAGGAGCTCAGGGCTTCTCCCAAGTGTCCTGGGAAGCCACAATTGTGGGATTCTTTACTTGCTGCCCCTCTGACCTCAGGAGTTCAGCTGCCATGAGGCTTCCTGAACATGTTCCTCTTCTTGTGGGGTGTGCAATCAGCACTGCAATTAACTCTCTCTGGAGGGGACAGCTATTTCTACCTCTCTCAAAATACCTTTTTCTTTGACTACCCTTTCACCTGACTTCCAGCAGCAGCACAGAGCACAACCTCCTGCAGATGAACGACTTAAAAACTGTGAGCATCATGCTAGGAAAGAGACAGGGCTGATTAAAGAGGCTGCCAAACAACATCATATTTCTATTTTTCTGAATATAGGCTTGAAATTCTGGAGATTTAATAGTTCTGCCTGAGCTAAATCTTAAAGTGCATGAAAAGATGCAGAAAGGGGAGTGCAGCTTGTGGGCTTGCAGCCCCACTGGAGTTCCCTGCCTGGGGAAGAGCAGTCTTGCAGAGGGACCCCAGCATTCCAGCAGCTCCTGGCAGGAGCTCTGCTCCCAGGAGATGCCCAGGGATGCTGCTCTGCTTGGCAGGCACAGCTGGGGGACACAGAGGAGCCAGGAGATTCCTTCCACAGGGATGTGGCTGCTGTAAGGCAGCCCCTGCAGTGCCTGCACACAGCCCAGCTGTCTGAGAGAGCCACACCTGCCCTGCTGCCCCTCCACCTGTAGGAACTGCTCTCATGGACCCACCAGAATAAAGCTCCAGTGCCTGGAGCTGCTCACAGCTGCTGAAGACTCCA